GCATATTTCTGGTATTTGCATTGAGTCATTTGTATTGCATTTGTTTTATGTAGACTCAATGAACAAGGATTCAGTAATCAACCTCTCTCTCCACCTACCTATGTTACTTTTTAGAATTTTAACCATATCCCACCCTATTGTGTGGTTGTTTGTTAATGCGTGAAGTGCAATATCTGAGCTTTTTTCTAAATGACTTATCTTCGCGTTTGGGGTCAACCATTCTAATTTTAGCTAAATTCTTATATTCTGATAATCTGACTAAACCCGACCTACTAGTATGATCTATGTAGTTGACATCACAGTTATTGCAGGGTATTTTGTAAATTATATTATTTTGTTTAATTGGGTCAACAGGGTCCTTTAGCCTACAGAGCTTGTCCTCCTTCCTGAGTTTGTAGGTTTGAATGCCACCCTAATTCCTGTAATAAGTAATTTATTTAAAAAAATCAGCAGTTGCACTGCATGAATTAACATACAACCACACAACAGAGTGGATAGGACAGAGTCAAAATTCTAAGAAGTAACATAGGTAGGTGGGGAGTAGGGAGAGGTTGATTACTGAATCCTGCCTGGTTCATTGAGTCTACACCCAACATATGCAATAGAAGTGACTCAATGCAAATACCAGAAATATGGTAGATATTATTATCACCAGTCAGTCAAATCAGAGGAGGATAATAAATTATCTTAAAATTCTATTTCAATTCATGTACATCATAACATCCTAAGAAGTTACTTATCTTGACTATGAAAACACCTTATTTCGCATCTTATTGACTAACAACACTCGTCTTATTTACTATCCTATTGTATAGGATTTATTATTATAATAATATTATTATTTCTGAATGTACTTTACCTTCCCTTCTGTTTCACGCACGTCTTTTATCGATATTAATTCATATGTCTAATCAATTTTTACTCATGTATATAAACTACGAAGGAAGAAAGTTATGTGAGTGAGTGCCTTGATATGATTATGATTAGTAGTAATAAATTGTGTTCGAAGCGTGTGGTCATCAGTAAATATTACTGTATAACGAACTCTGTGTGGTTTTAAGAAAATAAAAATTTCATCCATAATGGTACTAAGTTATTTAGCTTTAGATACTTCAATTTCTAAGTCAAAACATTACACGGACTCTACACTAATACTTTGTTTTCTCATTATCATTGATGTTCTAACAAGAAACTTAAAAAGAGAACCTAATGCTCATTTATTTAAGTGGGTTATGTGGTTGAATGTGTGAAATAAATATCTTGGTAACATGGCAGGATTCGAAACACAAGATCTACGAATTACTAGTCGGGTGTTCCGTCAACAGAGGTGAGGTTGCTAGCAGGCAGATTATTATTTCACTACAATCATCATGGATAATATCTATCTGTTATGTCAATGAATGATACATTAATGGCGGGTTACCATTATCACACTTACTACTTGTCTAACCAGATTATCACCTGCCAATCTTAATCACATGTCGAATTAGAAGAATAAAAAGCAAGTTGTTAATTGAATGAGACAGAATCTCAGTGACTGAATGGTCTACCAGAACACCTTGTGACTAGAGAATCCTGGGTTTGAAACCAGGTAAGTGCATACTACCGGTGAGTCTCAGACTAGGACGAAACGGTAGTCAAGTACTCCTTGGTTTTAAATGATTCGCCAGTCGATATCATTCGGTGACAAAACTTGAAGTAACATTCTTTTTATTTGTTTAAGTCAAATTATAACTGATACTTTTGGCATAAGAAATGGCTCACGTGGCTCAAATGATCCAGGAAATAACGCTTTGGCGTTTGAAACGAAAGGTCCTAGGTTTGAGTCTCAGCGCGGACACTATCAATGGCTGGGAACTGCAGATACATGTGACTGACGAGTTCCAAGTGTAAGATGAAATGTGAATCCTGGATCTCACTATCCAACAAACTATTATATTATTAAATAAAGTATAATTATATTTCAATAGTTTACACACAATGATAAGTTTTGTTATTGGTAATTTTGCTCGAAATATTACCAATAACAAAACTTATCATTGTGTGTAAACTATTGAAATATAATTATACTTTATTTGATCTAATCCACAATGCTCAAACCTTTTACTGATACTAATATTATATTATTATTACTCCCGCCGATGATATATGTCTGATTTCCCACAAACTGGAAGATATGCAAGCGAAAAGCAACAAGAAGAAGCATCAAAGATAGGACTTCAGGTGAACATAGAGAAGACAGAGGTGATGAAGATTCCTGGACAAGAACAACAACAACAGACAACAATCAGCATAAATGTGAGAAATCTGAAAGAAACAACCTCTTTTACCTACCTACCTAGGAAGCATCCTTTCAACTACAGACGGAAGGAACTGACGAGGATATCAAAGCAAGAAACAGAAAAGCAAGACAAGCTTTCACTACTCTCAAGTCTGTGTGGAGGTCAACAGCACTCACCATCAAAAATAAGATCCGGATTTTCAACTCCAATGTGAAGTCAGTGCTACTATACGGATCAGAGACTTGGCCATCGCGTCATAAAGAGCATCTCAAACAAACTACAGACCTTCATTAACAGTTGTCTTCGCTCAATACCACTCAGGATCAGATGGCCAGCCAGAAAAGATCAGCAACAGAGATCTCTGGCAATGAGCGAACCAACACAGCAGGAACCGATTGTGCAACAAACAGGCAGGAAGAAATGGAGATGGATTGGCCATACTCTGAGGAAACCATCAAGTGACATCACTAGACAAGCCCTTGAGTGGAAGCCGAAAGGGAAGCGGCGAGTTGGTCGTCAGTGTGAGGGTGACTTGGAGGACGTCATGTGAAGAGGAGATGAAAATGTGTGGGCAGACTTGGATCCAGGTGAAAACTCTAGCAGAGAACCGAACGCAATGGAGACGCACGGCTGAAGCCCTATGTTCCTCTAGGAATTAAAGGAAACAATAATAATAATAATTATTATTCCCTTGGGTTCCCAGTGGAACACAGGACTGGCTTCAACAACACATCTCCACTTTCTTCTATTCTCTACTCTCTTCTTCAGATTGCTAGTTCCACGATCGCCCATAATCCCTCATTTCCTTTTCGTACGATCTCCTCTATGTTATTATCACACCGACCACCCACTCGTCACTTCCTATTTGAATTCCACCCGAGTGATGGACTGGTGCGAGATGTCATTCGACGGTCTCCTCAATGTATGCCCAATCAATCCATCTCCATTTTCTCCCACAAATTTGTTGAGCAGTCGGCTCTTGGTTAGTTTGTTGCAGCCAGAGTTTCTTCTTACTAATTCAGTATGGATCCAGCGAAGGCAGCTGTTGATGAAAGTCTGAAACTTGTTGGAAATCCTTTTCGTGACACGCAGTGCAAGTTTCTGACCCGTATAGATGAACCGACTTGACATTGGTGTTGAGAATGCGAATGTTGTGGATGGTTAGTTAGTTATCTTCATCACCTCCGTCTTTTCTGCGTTTACTTCAATTCTTCTGATTGCTGCTTCTTCTGCCATCTTGTTAGCTTTCGCAATTGATGTGATTATGAACAATAATAAACTGGATTCGAAACCTTACTCACTATATATATATATATATATATCACTGTTTCAATGTGTATGATTATTCCGATAAACAAAAACTATAATGGGATGACATACTTGCACAGTGTTCAATTATTTACAATTATGTCTTTGATATGTTTAAAAAGCACTGAAAAAACTGTCACATGATATGAGAAATATCCTGACATCATTTTTACTCCCTTTCGATATTTTAATGGCTTCAACCGATTCTTCTCGTATCGGTGGTTCATCAGCTTCATATTTAACAGTGTATTCCCTCTCTCAAAAATATGCATGCGAAACAAATACATCATTTCAACTCAGCTACATACTACTGATTGGTTGATATGAGTAGTTTGACACCGTCCACCACATCAACCAGTAATGCTCAGTAGCTAGCAAGAGATCGCGGTGATCTAAACACACAGGATAGCTGTTTTGCTCGTTTTTCAGCAGAGCTTAACAGTGTTGAGTATCCTATTTTAACTCATTTCAGAAGTCTAGTTTCTCATTTGTCAGTTTACGCAGTCTTTGGTGTAGACGTGATATCCGGCTGGTTATCGACCAAAGCGCGTGTGTACTGCTCAGCAGTCCACTCCGTCCTCCTTTATGGCTGGCTGTGAGTGAGACATGGTCATTGAAAGTGGAAGGCATAAAAAGGCTGGCTGGCTAGCTGTCTTTGATCATAGGTGCCTGCTCTCTGTCTCCCGTGTTAGGTGGTCGGTGTATGAGCGTGAACAATATTGAGGTTAGGCTTCGGTCGAGTGCTAGGTAAGAAGGGAGGGGAAATCAGTCGACGAGGTTGTGAAGCAGTTGCATCGATTGAGATGGTTAGGACATGTGTTACGCATGCATGCCTAGCCATCGATCGCCTTCCTCGACGACGGACAATGTTGGCTGACATAGAATGGATCAGGTTGTCGGAAAAGAGATAGTTAGTGGTGGTAAAGCCAAAACATGGCTTCATCAGTCAATGAAATCCACAACAGTTAAGCCAACCAGGTAGGGATTGTAGACTCCCTAGCTGGTTGGGGTCCTCAGGATGGGAAAAATCAATGAAGGCTGGAAAACGTTGGTGATATGGCTCAAAATTGTCGTTGTCAATGGCGGAGATGCATCCACTCCTTGTGACTCATAATACCCAATAAAACTATATTGTTCTTCGATATTACTATTATTTTTACCTCATATCTCTGTTTACTGTCTCTGTTTTACATTTCGTTTTACTTTCTTCTCTTGCTTTGTGTGCTCAGTGATGTGTGGCGACTCGAACTGCTGCACTTCGGTGCAAAGTTCTACGTTGAAACCAGTCAGTCACTCAATCAGTCTAGAAAGTAGAACCATGAATCCAAACAGCGTGAATTTAATCAAATTATACCATCAAAGTTGTATTAATCAACATACACTATACACTAAACATACATGTGAACATACCTCTGGATAAAGATGCCAATGCATTGATAAAACGTGCCATATATTCACGTACACGATGATGTTTTGACTTCAGACAGTTTAATAATGGTGCATGCATAACAATATCAACATCTTTTAGCGTATCAATTTTTGTTAAATCCAATATATCATTCCGTACAAATGAAGTTAAACAATTTTCCCGTTGAGATAATTTCGATTTGGTTAATCTCTGAAAAGTAATAGGAAAAAAAAGAAACACATTGAAAATGGGCAAAGTTCAACAATAGCGTCGTCCTAAGGGATGCGAAAGCACGAGTCACCTTCAGCCTCCACCAATCATAAAAGTAAGTGACGTTTGTACAAAAATGACGTATATTTACAAGAAAATGCACGAAAACACATTAACAGAGGGTATCTTTCTCTGACATGACCTAAAAATACATCCCAGCTATAATGAGGAGTATCAATTACTAAGTTAGACTAGTTACTGTACATGAGTATTCACCGATGTGACTAAAGATGGGATGTTTTTGTGAATTGTTTATCTCTCTTATCCACATATGCAGTCTTCCCCGAAAGCCCTCAGTTGAATTACTATGGTTTTCAGTAAGAGGATCGACGACTACTTACCAGAAAAATGTGGGTGACACAACAAATTAAAATTAATCACGTCAACTCTAAATTTAGCCCTAGGCGTAACCTTAACCTTAATCCTAACACTTATCCAAACCGCAATCCTAACCCTATCGCTAATTATAACCCTGATCATAACCCTAACCCCAATACTTACCTTAACCCTAATCTTAAACCCAACGACCTATTTAACACATTGTCCAAAAAGTACTTAAAAACGTGATCTGAGTGAAATTTGCTGTTTAGTTGACGAATAACGTTGGTATTTCAGCTACGATAATGACAGGTGCCGTCAGCCAATGACCAGTATGCGTTCAAGGTCATTGGGGATTTCGCACTCTCGGAACGCAATTGTTGAACTTTGCCTGAAAATGAACCTAATAATTACTCATATTCATAGCACAGGATATGAGCAACAACCCGTTACCGGAGCATGAGTAATTGGCTACTTATACTGACTGATTACTAGAATATAAGTAACCGGTGTCATATGTCCAAGTCTCTATAGAAGTGTTGGTACTGACTGAATTCTGTCAGTTTACTGACGTCGTCCCAAAGCTATACGACTGGCTACTGCGGTACACTCTATATTGATATCACTTCACTCAAAATTGCAGATACACTTTGCTAATGAGTGCTAACAGGCACGAAATTTAGGTTCAGGAATTCACACCGACTGCCTCCAACCATCAGCCATTAATTCAGAGTGCAACACGATCGCGAGTTACCCAGCTTGGTGACCACATTGCAAATAACATTGACAGATAGGATTCAAGTGTTAATTTGTAGGATTCATCAAGGATTAATATCAGTTAGACAACCAATGAAAACCAGAGAATGCCGGAAAGTTGTTTCGTCCCATTTCGGGACTCCTCATCTGTACGTACATATGATCCCGCCAAAGATTTAATCAAGGACCTTCGTGAGCTATTAAATTCCATCCTAGTGGCTGAATGGTCGACGAATTCATCTCACAACCTAAAATCTCTGGGTTCGATTACTGGTGGGATGATCTGGATGTACTGTGAAGAGTCTCAATCTGGGACGAAACAGTTATCCAGCACATCTTACTTTCTGTTGGTTCTCAGTCTGTGATCAAACTTGATGGAACTCAGTCAACATCAACACTACTAATAACTAGACCAATCAGTATATCCAGTGTTATTCCATAGGAAAGCAATGGTGATCGGAAAACGCTTAGTGGTTACATCTCTGATAGAAGCACTGAGTGGTATGGGTAAGAAACTCAGAGAGGACATCACTTCTTTCGAGGTTGGAGTCACATCTTAATGATGTGAAACCTAGTTTCATGGCTTCCAAGCAACGGCAATTTAATTTTATCAGTTGACCTATTTTTCCTAGGTGGATTTCTTCAAGGACAAATAAATCAGTCAGAGAATCACTGAAATCCCCTGATTTAGTGAACCCCGTCGGTCATGATTTCTCAATGGAACTTCAAGAAATCCATTCTGTTCACTTAGCGACATCAGGTTGGTAAAGAGCCAATGGTGGTTAAATCAAAACATGGCTTCATCAGTCAATGAAATCCATAACAGTTAGTTTAAACCAGCCAGCCAGCCACGTCGGGAGGAGTACACTAACTGGCTGACTGGTTGGAGTCCTCGGGATGGTAAGAACCAATGAAGGCTGGAGACAATTGGTGATATGGCTCAGGATCGTTCTCATTGATTGGTGTGAATGCATTCATCACCCGTTGTGATTTGTCATTACCAATGAAACCCTATTTTTCTTCTATATTACTATTCTTTTTCCCACTCACACTTCTGTTCAATATCTCTCTCCCTTTTGAATCTCGCTTAACTCTCTCTTCCCTTGCTTTGTGTGCTACACGGAGGGAGAGTGGCAACTCGAACTGCTGTACGTCTCTATAAAGTTCTACGTTGAAATTAGTCAGTTCAGTGACATCGGTTAATGATAAGATCTGTTTTCAAGGCACCTTTTAGACACTGTTGTCGCTAAAATATTGCAGGTTTTTATACTACCAGATAAAACAACAAATACACGGTTACACTGTGTTTTAGAAATCTTTCCTATGCATTTCATATGTGGCAAACTGACTTACTGGATGGAAAATAGATTGAGAGTGGAGAGAAAATAAAAAATCAAACATTTCGTCAGTTCAAAATGTGACTGTGAATTCATCTCTTCACTCAAGATTCGCAAAAAAATTAATTATCATATCTGCACGCATGTTGGTAGTAAAAGGCAGATGTTCGGACTAATTTTAACTGATATATTTATTTCAAGTTTGTTCACGGATTGATTTTGGTCAGAGAACCATTGAAAACCAACTAGAGAGAACTGGATAGCTGATTCTTCCAAGGTTGGGACTCTTTAGCAGCATGAATCAATGACCCCAAAGACTTGAAACGAACCCATAACCTTCTGGCTACAATTCGAGTGAACTGACCATTCAGATACTGATATGGAACCTAATGGCCCATGAATTCTAAATCCGTTCACTTTGTGAGTTTTACAGTCACCGCCAAGTATATGTCTTCATACCCAACTTGGTTGTCCCTGCTGGTCAAATTTGCGTGGATTTGAAAGGTTTCAAACCAACATCAGATAGGAACGAAGTCATAGGGAAGAAGAACTGGACAGCTATTTCCTCTTAAATTGGTAGCCTCCAACAGCGTACACTCACACTCAATCACAGTAATGTCTCACGGTATACTTCACCAGCATCACCTTCTTAAGTATTCTTAACCACAAGCTTTGTTTATTTTTACTCCCAGGGGGGCTTTAAACTATAGCGGCCCAATTCGAAACTACCTAATAAACGGATTGATGACCTTGAGTTACCAGTTAGATGAGTTCGTAGTATATAGGTGGAATTATGGATGTCGTATACGAACAATGCAGCAGTTTTCATCTAAGTCTAGTATTTTCAGTACTGCTTAGACAACAGGCTCATTGGAAGGGAGAAAGCGTATAGCCAACTATCTTCCCTGGGTTATATTCACAAGGTCTTCAGTTATACAGACGATTTCTTTAATGCTTTCGATGGGACCCACACAAATTCTATCGAAAGCTTCTAAAGTAGCTAAAAAACGTGGATCAGAGCGGTAAATGAGTCAAGAAACAGGATGATTTACAGTTAACTCGACAAATTTATGTACAGAAATCGACCTAACCTGACTATGAGGACACCTATGAGAAGTTGGGAGGCTTTCTTGTAAACATATACAAGAAGGTTATCCTATGTAACTACCTTTTAACATTGCATTACTTTTATATAAACATCTCTTTCAAATTATGCACTTCTGCTTTGGACGCATCTGATTGGTCGATAGAGATTTGTCAAGGTCTTTATTAGGTAGTTTCGTTTTGAGTCACCTACTCCCATATAATTCTACCAATATGCAATGTATATTCTCATTCACATGTTTGGTGCACATGCAAATACATCGTTTAACTGTTGTAGATCTTTAAAAATAATGTTCATCCTCATTTTATTTCTTTTTTACACTGACTTTGCGTTCCGAGAGGAATATAGGGCTTCAAGATTGAACTGTGGGGTTCTAGTAGCGGTGATACTTCTTTAACAGCATGAGGTTGTTAGCCTCACACGTTCAACCTTCCCTATTTACCGGGCTTATCATCGGCTCAGTGAGGTTTAGGAGTGATTCAACCGGGAATCGAACCCGAAACATGTACGTGAATAGTAATCTTTTCATTTCATTCCTTCACGTTCCCAGTGGAACTTAGGGAGCTTCAAGCTAGAGGCTTGAATTTTCGGTAGCAGTGGTGTTTATTTTTACCAGATGGGGTTGCTAGCCTCATACCCAAACTTTCCTCTTTACCAGCTTTATTACTGGCTTAGCGAGGTAAACGAGTGTGTCAGTGGCCGGGAATCGAACCCTGGACCACATGAGGCGTGGTTGGCGAGCATTCTACAGCTATGCCACCGATGCCCTACGTGAACAGCAAACATTCTACCAATGTTCCATTAGTAAAAGTTTCTGCTTTGGATTTTCAGTTGATTGTTGATACTAGACTGCAATGAGAAACCTTCGTTCACATGTTGTCTTCCAATACAAACGCTTCTACGATATCTAGACGTAAACATGATGCTATTTAGTGGATGGCGATTAGCAGAGGAATCTGGGCGGTACACTCCGTCCTATTTGGGACTTGTCAGCTAGATGTACCTGCTATCCAGTGAGTGATAGCCTTCCTACCGAGACTCGAACGTAACACGCATCGTTTGAAACGCTGAAGCCCAGTATCGTCGAGTGGATAACGCCGCATCACTCTCTAGAAAAATGCAGGTTCATCCAACTGACACGCTCAAAATAGGAAAACATTCGTGTCTTCGTAAGCTACCATCATTCAATCGATACTTCTGGCATGTTTAGAATAAAAATTTTCTTCAGAATGTTTCACTGCGTGAGGCACAGTTTCTTCAGTAGTTTTCTGTCTGGAAGTTTCAAGAAGACAGGTCACAAAACGCTTATCATCACCATTTGTAATCACTTACCCAACGTAATGCTTGTAGCAGGTAGCATTTCTTTCGATCATTCATTGTTTTGATATCCTCTTTGATTTTGTTATAATCCAATTCGAATAAAGGCGTCGAAGCTTTATCATTCCTTAAAGAGAGAGAAATATAAAAACACGAAGATAATCTAAATTCAGTTATGCTTAAATTGATAATCAGAACTGTTCATTTTAAAGATTGTTTAACAGATATTTAAGACCACCAAAGGGGCGGCCTGTTTAAATTCTTATCCAACAAAATGTATCAAATCCCAGCGAATTTAAATCGGAGGAGAGCACACTAATGCTGACGAGTTTGAGCCGGTTATTCACAGAAAACAAGTGAAAATCTTTAAGCGTCAGTAACTAGAGCTACAGTTATTATTATTATTATTGGTATATTATTATTATTCCTTTGGGTTCAGAGTGGAATATGGATCTTCAACAACCTATTTCCACTGTTTTCTTTAGCTGGGTCCACGATTGCCCATAATCTCCGATCTCCTCCTCTCACGATCTCCCTCATTTCACCCTCGCACCGACGCCCCGCTCGTCATTTTCTATTAAAGTTCCACACGAGAGTTACAGTTAGATTAAGGGATTTACTTTGAAGCTGTTTTACCCATATTCGCCTTTTAAATATCATTGGTCAGGCTTAAAGTCACTGGTATCCTCATTGGATTGAAGTTCCATAGTTTAACTTCGCCTTCTAATTACATCCTTGAATCACAAGTTGCACCCATACCCATTTTGAATAGGCTACTATGGAACTTTCTAAATATATTTAAGAAAAATATTGGAGATTATTGTAGGATGCTTTCGATAAAATAATATTCCTTCAGACGATACATATTATCGATTCTTTTACCTGCAGTGTTTCGCAATACAATTCACAGGTAATTTTGCACTGTAATTCCATAATAGTTTGTTTATTTGATATATCACACAGTCAGTGAAACAGTATTAGTATTTACTGGATGACAAAGTTTCGAACACAATCTATTATTGTTCATAATCATATCAATTATAATCACATGACTTCGAAAATTGAGTTTTACAGTTTTCTTTGTTCTCTCCTATTTGTCGTAAGGATAGTAGAATTTTCCAGATACCTGTTTGGACAGGTATTGAATCATTCCTATTACATGTATTTGCAGTTGATTCGATAAACAAGGCTTCTGTTATCAATCTCTCCCTATACCCTGTGACATTAGATTTTAAAACTGTCATCCTGTCCCATCCTATTGTATGGTTGTGTGTAATTGCATGTAGTGAGTGCTATAGCTGAACTATTCTCTAGATTTCTTATCTTATTATTCGGGTCAACTAATCTAGATTTTGCTAGGCTTTTATGCGCGACTAGTCTGACTGCCCCTGTTCTACTACTTTGACCTATGTACTTGACCTGACAATCACTGCAGGGTATTAGATAAACTAAATTGTTTCAATGGTTCTCTGACTGATATCAATCCATGATCAACTCTTAAAAAATGTAATTTGTTATTGACTATCAGTTGGCGATGAGATATTAGAAATCTCGCGAAAACTTATACAAGAATACATTAAATTGATGGAGGCTAATTTACTCAAACACGCGTACGCTTATGCATAAATTCATCAGTTCATCTGTCGTTCTCTGGTATAAACGCAACGTGTAACAGTCAGTGTCATAACGTGATGTTTAAGACTAAAACTGAAAGAATGAAATTTAAATCTACTACTGTAGTTATTGTATTAATCTAAAGTTCAAAACTAACCAACTGAATGATTGGTCAATGTACAACTTTGCAACGATTCAAATTGTCAAATTTTGAAGGAGCACGCATAAAAGTACAGTAAAGACACTCAATGAAACTGTAATGACTGAAAATGTTTGTGAAAGAAAATAATTCGATGCATGATAAGGAGGATTCAGGAAATCTAGACAAGTGTTTGTGCGTCGGTGGCATAGCGGTTAGGATGCTCGCCGACCATGCACATGGTCCGGGATTCAATCCCCGGCCACCGACGCACTCCTTTACCTCGCTAAGCCAGAAATAAAGCTGGTAAAGAGGGAAGGTTGAGGGGCATGAGACCAGCAACCCCATCCTGTAGAATAAACACTGCTACAGAAACTTTAAGCATCTAGCTTGAAGCCCTATGTTTCACTAGGGAACGTGAAGGAAAAAAAAAGTAATTGAATACATGTCAGTTAGTGTAAATGATTCTGATTTGTATCACCCATATCCTCCAACCATTGATTCTTAACTAACCGAGGATTTCAGTCAAGCAATCTATATCTCTTTTTACAAGCCTTGAGTCAATAGACATACTTCCGTCTGACTGTGATTAAGTCTCTTCCAACAGAATCCCGTTTCGTTTGATTGGACACTAGTCAGTAAATAGTGTCATGTGTCTAGTCCTTTGTTTACTGCAGACTGAATTCTATCAGTCAACTTTGCAATGTGACCACCATGTCACTAGGTGGCCCACCATCACGGTACACTGTGAACTGTTGGTATTAGATGGTTGGAGGCAATTGGTAGGAAGGCGTATCTGCAGTCATGAAGGGACTTATGTCCCTTATGAGATTCTTACCCGTGCCACCCAATGCTGCAGTCAAAGACGTTAGCACTCAGCTATTCAGGCTCGCGATTAGCCTCCTGTAGGACTATGTTGGATACGTTGACTGAAATTGACTGATAGAATTCAGTCTGCACCAAACAGCAAGGACTAGACATATTACACTAGTTACTAGTGTCCAATGCAGTCCCAAATAGATCACTGGTCACATCTCTGACTGCGGCACTCACTATGTGACGTGGGTTTGAATCTCATAAGGAGGGGCATGAGTTCCTTCAAGATTGCAGATATGCTTTGCTGACTGGTGTGAGTGCCAACAAGCACGAAACCTATGTCAAGTAGGTCTTCCTGTGACCAACTGCCTCCAACCACCCAACAGAATCTTATTTCAACTGATAATACTCGTCAAGAAAGGTGATATTTCTGGTAACTAGAGTTGATGGAAATTCACAAAGTCACTGATTGACCTTACACTTACCGTAATGCATCGGTGGTTCACTGATAGAATGCTTTCCAGTCAGTCACATGGCCTAGATCCTATTCTTCGTCGACGCGCTCCTAAACCTCTCTTAACCGGTAGTAACGCTGAAAGGTTGGGGGGCTAGGCTAAACTAGACTAGCAACCTCAACCCCGTAAAAGAGACAACATCACTGTTACTGAAACTTCAAAGATCAAGAGGCTTTCAGCCCTACGTGTTCCAATCGGAATGAAGAAAAACAAACGGTTAACCTCATTCCTACTGGCCATCTGTTTCTATACCGAACTAATTAACCTACTTTAGCAAACATGCTAAGCAAGCATTGACTTCCCGCATTCTTTCTAATTACATTAACACAATAGTGAATGATTTTCACTTGCTAAAACATCACATGACTGACTCCAAAATGATAATATATGCAGGAAAAAAGTTTTAAAAAAAAGTAAAACATAAACGAAGAAATAAAAAAGATTGAGAAATATGTTTGTTTTCTTTGCGAAACATCATTTCTAACACTAAAAGGACAGTTCATTAGCAAGGCGGAAATAGTAACCATAGTAACGAGTGCATATAGAGTTAATTAAACAAAACTTAGAGAATTCTAGTTTTGCAAAGGAAACTAAATCAGAATTACTTTCCCAATATAACTTATATTTATTGTTTAATTAATCTTAAATGTGCGTGAAATGAACAACAATAGTAGTAATGATAATAATTTGAACCGATGATAGAACAAACTTCATCGGTTCTCATCAACTGCACGCAACCCCTTACATTTAATAATGATAACAATAGCTTTATTTCAAACAGTAGTTTTCGGTACAAATATGGAATTTTCAGCATGTAATACAATCAGTATTGCATCTAATTTTCTCGTTACAGGGGTATTAATTAAAAATAGGGCATTTGCATTAATAATAATATTGTTCAGTGTATTATTTTCAAAATATTAACGACAATGTAACAATGAGAACGAGGAAAATGCCGTTTACTTAGAGTTCCTCAGTAAGTTGGTAATTTCCTGTCTTACACACTTTTCTCATCACATTAAATGTGCTCCTGCCAAATAAGGTATTGTAGAGTTTTTGTACTTAGTCATCCGGGTATACAGTCTTCTATAGTTGCAAGCGTAAAGAGAGTTGTGTATGGAGAGGATGTTCAGAGTCTGACAGGATAATATTTGCTGATTTCTTACAGGAATCCAAATGTCTATCTACAAAAATGTCTACAACAACAGCAGCAGCAACATCCAGCACCAATCACCATCAACGGGAGGGATTTGAAAGACGTTACTTCATTCACTCACTTATCTAGGGAGCATTGTCTCAACTACAGGAGGAGGAGGAACGGACGAGGATGTCAAATCGAGAATCGGGAAGGCGAGAAACACATTCATTCATTCAATCTGAAACCAATCTGGAAATCTTCCACTGTCACTCAACCCCAGCATCAACAACAAAATTCGGATTTTCAATACAAACGTCAAGTCAGTCAGCTCTTCTATACGGATGGATCAGAATCTTGGCGGGTCACAAAGAATATTTCCAATAGCCTGTTGCAGACCTTTATCAACAACTAACTGTCTTCGCTGGCTGTATACTGAAGATCAGATGGCCGGAAAGAATCACAAACAAGAAACTATGGGAACAAACAAAAAACAAGAACCAATCGCTCAACAAATATGCAGGAGAAAGTGGAGATGGATTGGACACTCACTGGCTGAGGAGGCCGCTGGGTGACATCGCGTGTCAGGCCATAGCTCAAGTTGAACCCGAAAGAGAAGCGGCGAGTGGGACATCCAAGGGTGACATGGAGGAGATCATGTGAAGAGGAGCTGAAACAGTATGGAATAACATGGATTCAAGTGAAAAGTACAGCAGAAGACAGAAACAAGTGGAGACGTGTGGTTGAAGCCCTATGTTCCACTAGGAACCCAAGGGAACAATAATAATAATAATCTACATTAGTATTAACGAGTTGGTTTAGCAACACTACACTCGCCCTACTGACGGCTTTTAGTGCCCTACGCACTGTAACAAAGTCTTTCTTAAGTAGCCCAGGAAGGATTAAGG